TATATATATGATGGAGTCGTTGTGGTAACGAGAAACTTAAGCACAGGTAGAACCTCCGTCCCACTTTTGTCCACAAGCGTCCGGGCTAATTTACTTCGTCATGCCTTTTTCGCATATTATGCATATTTGTTACACATGTATCTCTGAATGCTATCCTTTTTTAAATGAATTTGAAAATAAATTCGTCTGTTTACGCCAAACCCAGGTTGTAAATCCAGACTCGTTACAGTCGCTCTATGACTTTCTGTCTGCATTTCCCTTGCTACGGTCCCACTGCGTTGCTCTTTACCATTACATTATTCTAAGTGAATAATTTGGTTATGGTGCCTTACTAATTCCATTTCCTAACTGCGATTATCAGATATTCCATTGGTGTATTCTACCCTAGACCTGCTATCGTATTATCTTGATTCATTCATTGTATTTTAGTCACTTTATGTCACCTTGTAGTCGTGTTCCGTTATCCTGTGTTCATTAGCTCTATTGCAAGTAAGCCAGCGTCATCCTGCTACCGCCTATTTTTTAACACCATCGCAATTATTCAGCTCTCTCTAGGTGAAGCCGATAAAAAAAGTCATTCAGATGTTTTCAACTTATGTTTAAGGTAACTGCCATCTTGGATATCTAATATTTAAAATTTTTGAAGAAATATTTACATATTGTTAATATGAAAACAATTTTTCCCAGTGGTGTCGTTGACCGATCAAAACCAATCAATCCAAGCGCCATGCAAAATATCCTAAGAAACGTTCGAGTCCCGAGATGAACTGAAAGTACGTGTACAAGCACCATTACTCGCTTTAGAGTTTTAGAAAAAAAATTATCTTAGTGTGGTCACCATCGAAAAGAGTAACCTTCGGGACTAAATTTTTATGTTTTTAAGCGTATTACTCAAAAGTATGACTTCTCACTGTACCTACCATTACTGAACATTTCATCATCCGTTGTTTGCCCTGCAAGGGCATACAGGACCCCAAATTTGAAGTTCACGGAGCCCTCCTGCTCCTCGAGTAAAAGTAGGTCCTAAAAAAGTTGCAAAGAAAATTTTATTGATAACGGTTTAGTCTACGCCGCCGTAACACACCGCATATGACATAGACTTGAGTTCAATAATTACAATTTAGAATTACAAAAATAAATACAATTAAATTGTGTTATTTTTTACCGCCCTTCAAAATATAGCATAGCATAACCAGTCTCATCGGATTAAAAGTAAACACAGTTGCAAACGAGGGTCACACTGACAGATATGTTACTCATTATTTTGTCGCTTCGGCTCGAAGCGATTTCACTGAAAACGTGCGACCTTCGTCTAAAGCCGCTGCAATGCTTCCAAAATTAAGGGAACACAACGTTTTCTTAAAGGACATGTTTGGTTATATCGTAGCATCTGCTGACCGCAGTATTCACGCAGGGTAGGCTATGACCGCTGTATAAGCTAGTTATAGCGTGGACTACGTGTATAGCGCATGCAATCAAAGCAGCATCGGCCCTTTTTAGCGGTGTTTACCATGTTTGACTTGTAATCGTTCCTTAAGTTTTACTGCTCTGGGTAGATTATCTTTTGCAATGCCCGATCATCATTGTTATCATGCTTGTTGGTCTTAGTCCACCTTCCGTAATCTATGAGAACCTCTCGCGAAGTGATCAGCCTAATATTCTTGAGCTGAGGCTGTGCTCGCTGCATGTCTAAAAACTTGGTCCCGTTTAATCTCGTTGTCGGCCGCCCTCAACATTCAGCAGTGTTGAAAAAGAGGCGGGCAGGAGAAGACTTAATCTAACGAAAGAATTTTATCCCAAAGTTTTCCTCTGGGATAAAATCAGCTCTGCTTAAATCATTCAACAGTAACAGCGATAGCGCAGACCGCCAAATTCGTCGTCACCGCTACCACCTTCGTTAGCAGGGATCCCGGGCAGAAAAACCATGACCTTCTTTCTTCCTTTTTTAGCTACACGTTGTCTTTTTTTCTCTATAGATTACTTACTTTTTTGCACTTTCCAACAGCCATTCTGTAACTCCAAGAAGCGTTTGGATCACCGCAGTACCAAGTGCAACAGCTTTAAAGCCAAAGAGCTGAATCGAATAGCCCAATGTGTTGCGCCAGTCCCTGTTTTCAGTCCCCGGCGATGCTGTCATTGCTTTGTCGACGTTGCTGAACTACTTCTAGCTGTTCACGCCGCTTGTTAAGGTTGGCATAGGTGAAAGCAGGAAGCGTCACCATCTGGTGCCGTTTGCCATTTACATTGGTACGACGGAAATACGATGAAAGTGGACAAAGCGGGGCTTCTGAGGTATGTGAAGTTACGTCTCATACACAAGCCATTTTCCATGTGAGCTCTTAACAACGTTACTACTGCTACGCTCGGCAGAGGTTATAATGTTTGTCGTCGCGGGTCGCCACAAGGGCCTACAGCAATATGGCTGGTAACAGTGTTGATCTCAGAAATCCCACAATTTATAAAATGTTGGTAGAACTTACGATAAGCATTAACTCGTTGTTTAATGGCGGAAAACGAATGGGGAAAAAATCTATCTAAAATTACTAGTGAGAGGAACCATTTAGTCGACACAAGTCAGTAGAATAAAAAGGAATATAGCTTCCATTAGCATGCGTAACAATTAAACAATCCGTATTGAATGACGGCTAATCTTATTAAACAAGATAAAAGTAGGATATTTGTGCATGGTAGATTTGACCATCCATTGTCTTTTTTTTTTAATGTTTCTTCCAAACTCACTGTACTTAACCACACTATTCCACTCTGGCTTTTGGTTAACATTTACAAACCTTTTGAATATCAGGTGAAAAAATCTCCTTCGGACCTTTGTCGACTCGATCGAGCGTTTCGAAATTGCTCAGGATCGACTTAACAGTTAGCGGCTTGTTAGGGCAATGTGAAAGACAAATACGCAGCGCCCCCTGGAATGTAACAGTATCACAGGAACAACCAAATTAGGACAAAGATAACACCAGAGCGACATCAACGTAGAAAAGGAAGTCATTAAGTTGAACGACGCCAGAAGGACATCGACAAGTTCGGAAGCTAATGGGAATTGCTTATTTCGTCGTGTGGAACAATTGTTCAGGTGATACAATTGTAAAACTCTTAAGACCTCCGCAAGAACCTTTGAGGGGAATCTCTTTATGCTTATGTTATTTTTGGGTCGTACATCTACACATCTGGCTTGTAGTTTTTTGCCTGTATGCGCTGTTTTTGGTCAGATTATACCACACGCATTGGTGTATAGCTATACATGGCCAAACTGACACCGCTAACCCGTTTAAATGGGCTGAATTGAAATATTTTTTATAGCAAATTTAAAGCACGCGCATTACAATCAGGATTTGCCTGCTTATAGGCATTGTTTGTTTGATTGTCAGTAAGGTCTTTCATTTAGAAAAAAACTCATAGATTGCATTATAGGAAGGGTTTTTATAGTTATTTGTTCGGACGTAATGTGTATATAATGAATATCTATGTCATATATATACATACATATATATATATATATATATACATATATATACATGTAGATACAGGTTGGACACAGACCTGCCACGTTGATACTTACCGTCTTTCGCCAGAGAATGGCCCGGTACTGCTGCGTGCCCTGTGAGTTGGCATCAGTGAGCACAACGGACAAGAAAAATGGGTTCTTCTCTGCGTCCGCCCCAACATAGTTCTGATGCACTGAAGACGCGAGTGACGTCCAGGAACAGCAGATCATGGCAAGTTAAAACATTTTTATAGAGAGAATGGCATTTATGTGATTTTGTTTTATGATTCTAGAACGTTTCGAGATGAAATCGTTCTCGTCGCCGCCGCTTATTTCATTGGACCTTCAGTTAGCCTTCAGTCGTACATCCAGCGGAGGTTCACTTTGCTTGCCCCGGTTAAACGTCGCTTTTAAGAATCGAATTCGGTAACACTATATATTCAAACCAACCGGGAATAGATTGACTAAACATGTTCCTCAAATCATGCCTTGCAACGGTCATCCACGTTTACTACATTATTAAAATAGGTGCTGCTAATAGAGTACTATCGGCTAAAAAGCCTACGATGAGCACCAGTTTTTTTCTTTGTCCCCTTAGATAATAACGATACATAAAAGATGTCAGGTCTCGCCGATTAGGATACTCGAGTATGCTGTTACCACAACCAGTGGTTACCGTAACGCAATTAACTAACTATGTATAATGTATTATATAGTAGTTCTGCTCCAAAGAAAACAATGCTACAAGTACATATTTTTCCCTTGCACACACAATGCCCAATTGATACTGTCGATGATACTTTTCCCCTTCTCCAGTGCTACTGGCAGGTAACAGAAACTTCCAGATTCCCACATAATGAAGCGACGATAAGCAAAATATCTGGATTCTTCATATCAGGAACTAACCTGGACGATACAATCGGCCGATATATGAAACTCAATCATTATTGTAGGCGAACAATTATCATCATATAGTCCCTACGTTAGTGTGAAAATCCAGGAAAAAAGTTGTCATTTGTGAGCATGTTTCGTACTGATCCGAAGATTTTAACCACTGTTAAAAATGGGAGAGCTAAACCATGTGAAGAACTTGGTTCTGAAGCCATCATATAATGCGATCAGAATCATCACACAATGCAATCATAATGATATTTGCACACATTACCCTTTGGGGAGAACAAAGGAAAGGGGGGAGATGCGAGATTGTATTAAAGAACATGTTCCATTTCAGTCCGCTGCACTTAAGCAATGCACAGGTAAACAATTACGGATGATACATAAATTGTATGCGTTTTAAACCTGCGGGTTTTCCGAGCTTGTTGTGTGGGATGTTAATGATTTTTTAGGTTTTAGAAAAACTACTTCGGGTTTTATGTGCCCTGAGTAGGTGTGTGGGGCGGGGGGGACTACTAATTCATTTCACAAGTAAGCTATTTAATCACGTCGCAAAAACCCCACACACTAGACAGGTTATTAAAACAGTTTTAAATTATATGGATTTTTAGAAAGAGCTATTTTGGTCAAGGAGATTGCACTCTACGCATTCCATAATCTACATATATATAGATATTAATGAGCTAAGGCTTGACAAAATGTTTTTATCAAGCAATGATTATAATGACGAGGACGAGGTACACAGTGATATCTAAAGTTAAACAAATCGACTCACGTTTGCCAAGGAAGTACTTAAAGTACCATCTGGTCTGATACTCTGGATTTTCCAGGACGGGGGTGCTGGGGGATCCAAACAGCTGCAAAAAAAGTCGTACGATCATTAAAAATAGAGAAATTTATACAAATTACCCAAGCGCCCATGTTAATTAAGTAATAGTTACATGCGGAGGTGACGAAGCTTCGAAATATTTCGAAAAAAAATTGAAATCCAAAACAAACGTATAACAGCCGATTGGTGTGCATCAACTAAGCAAATCATTAACGAGCTATCGCCTGTACTATTCATGCGGTGCTTGATTATTGCATATGACCTAGTGCACACAGGAGCACATTAAACTGGTATTAACAGACTACCCGTGCGAGTAAACAACGACCCTCTTCATTTCAATTCAGTTAACTGAATGTACTCTGCGCGAATTTTGACAAAAATTTACATGTTATTATATTGGATTAAAAATGATATCACCTCTCATGTCCTGGCGGCGATAGTTGGACAACTGTTTTTCCATTTGCCTACATGCACCAGCATCGATTTTCAGCTCAACGCTCAGAACCGTTGTCGTTTCTGCTGCCTGAATCCTCTATAAGCCTTTGTCCTTTCTTCCGTTTTAAATAAGGCTGCAATTTGTTAAGGGCTGTGCTCATCAATTGCGATAAAGGGGGAACAAGCGCTCAGAGACCCAAGCCATCAGTTTTCTTTAATCGAGTTGCGTCCATTGGGAAAACGCTCGCTTAAGGCCTCATTCAAGTAATACTACCGTACGTAACACTCTATCCTATTATTAACGTGTTTAACTGCTTAAGCATACCGCGATGAACCCACCACAAACAAACCCTCGACCTAGTAGCAAGGATGGGGGCCCGAGGAAACAGTAACTGCCAGCGCTATCCTTGTGTACGAGGGACATCCCAAGCCGCCATAGTAAATCATTTAGGACACATCTAGGCAGACGGCTCCTACCGTCGCTGTCTTTGCGGCCGCTGTTAGGAGTTTTCCGTGGTGTTCCGAATTAGATTACAGGGTAAGTCTGATCATTGCCGTTATTTTTCTAAAGAAGTGAACGGAATGGGTAGGGCATCATCGTCGATCGTGTGCACGCACCCCTTCGCTGAATTTCGAGCCCATACTACAAAGTAGTGGGTGAGTAACAGACTACACCTGGCGACCAGTTACATATAATCCTGTAAAATGGTCCTGGCTGAAGGAGCACATATTACAATGCAATAGAATCGGCTGCTGATGCAACACCACAGCATACTGCAACAACTCGCTGTAAACAGTAGCAAAAGAAGTAGGGTTGGGTTGGCTACTCCTATGGATATCTTCGGAAAAGCCTGCTTCCTTCGAGGGCTGGTTGCACGCTTGCCGTGCCTTTGACCCGCCACCGCCCATTGGGAACCACTTGGAAATTCTAGAAAATTTCAGTCTAGGTAAATATTGAAAATTTTATTTTACTTCGATGATGTTGCCACTTCAGCATCAGTAACGTGCCTTGTAATATCAAGATAAATTTTACTCCAGTTTTCTTCTATCCTAAACTATGCCGTGCTTGGGCTGCAGGGTTGATAGCAGCATCGAGCGAACGCAAACTGTGCTCGTAGTCGCAGTGGACGACTTTGCCCAAAATCTAAAGAGGGAAAAGACAGAAGAGCAAATAAAAGATCGCACAAATTCAGCCGTCCTTAGAGAAGCAAAAGCCTTCGCTCCCTGCTGAAGGAGTTATAATCTCTCCCCCACAGAAATTTTACGTCCTTCTCTGGAGACACAGACCAAGATCCAAGTACAGCCGTTGACTAGTTAAGACGCACAGGAGACCCTAATTTTATCTAAAACAGTGCTTTTTTACGAACCACTAATCCAATACAGTGCATCTCAACTAATAAGAACACTTGGGTCCGCAGCCTAAATAGTTAAATTTATTGAAGCTGTAATTGAATGCAGGCACCTGGTAGATTATACACTGCATTGACAAAGCAGATATACTTACACGTAGTTACGTGTTGTTACCGGAGTTAACGCTGTATCAGACGGATGCATGTCTTTGTACAGGTTCACCTTTTAATATTGTATGCTTATAAGTGCATCACCAAGTGTTTCTTTTAGTCCGAATCAAAATATATTGGCATGCAGGTAACTTTCTACATATTGTAAGCTGGTATTGAAGCAAAAAAAACGGAGTGTTTTTATAGCTTATCTGTGGTTGATTAAGCCTTCGTGAGGGTTATGCATGCTTTGTTTGCTGTCTGATGAAAGGTAACGCATTGTTCGCCTTTTTGGATAACCTGAACGTAATGGAATAAATGAATTCCTGGCTAAACTTAAGAGAGCTATCAACTAGCAGGTCGATAAGTTCCATTTGTTAGCATCGCTAGTATAATTATTATTTCAGGATTTTCATGGCGGAACTTATGATCCGTATGGGTCGTGCTGAGTAAAATACGTTTACGAAATACTGTACCATGTTTCCCTAACTTAAATTAAGCACTAAGTTTTCGCCGACTATTGTAATTGCAGAGTATTTCTGGTCGCAATACTATTTATACTGTAAGTAATCTAATACGGGTTTTCGTCCGATCTGTATTGTTTAGGTTAGTATTTACATTTGTAGTATACCAAGAAAATATTGCTGTTAGAGAAGTATGGTCATCTCACTGTAGGCGCACAACTGTGAAATTTTGATCCGAATGATGTTCCAGATCGTGTAAAAATCAAATTATTTCCTCTACGAGCGTGGCTCACAGCTGTCGGATGCGTCTGGTATCTGGCTTATTAGATGAGATTCTATCCTCTAACTTTGCGACAATCCTTATTCCTGCTTACTTTTATTTGCAATTCTTTTTTCTTGTCTGATCTATCGCCAACAGAGGGTCTCAGCGCTAGACGGTGGCGACAACGACGGTGATTATCGTCGTACGCTTTAAAGGCGCGCAGTTTTTATTGTCGCTGATTACGGTACAAACCACTACTGTTATCGTGCTCTATAGTTCTCGCTATGTACTTGTCTGGGCATGTATGGGTGTCTATCTTTGAACGTAAATGTCGTCTGTCAGATTTAGCCAGAGAGCTGGTGTGATATCATCAGATAGATCCATCCTCTACGTTATGCGTTTTGACGCGCTTAATAGATGCTTTCTCGTTATTGTTGTAAAGGGCGTGGATTAACTACGGGTAAGCGGGTCAGGAATGAAAAAGCCCGTTGCCCTGGTAACGACGACCAATTACCGGTCTGTGTGTCGAGCTTTTGTTGCTTTTTTAAATCTATTAGATTGCTACGCTTACGACAATCACAGTCAGTTATTAATGGACACAAAGCACGCCGTAATTGCCATGCACAAATACGGCGATCAACAACTGTGACAATTACGCTGCTGCTGACAAATTGCTCTATGTTTTCAGCGGTGTTAGAAGGAGTGCGATTCTAACGACTGACTAAACGTGGTATGAGCAAGAAATGATAAGGCTAGTGGAGTTCAAATCTATGTTTCACTGGCCCAGATGTGCTGAGAACAAAAGACGACCTAATTAAAACTCAAATGAGTTAGATGAAGCTGTCTATCATGATGCTTATGATTTTCTCAACAATGTTAATGATGGGTGGTTGTATTTTATTTACTTTGAGAGTTTCTTCAGTGGTCACGCGGCGGACGTGGCTGCTGGACGAGGAGGGCCCTCCAGACGCATTCGTACCAGGACCGAGAAAGGAAAGCTGCATGGACACAAGATAGTGAGTGTGCGTATGGAGGCGATGGATAACCACCGAAATAAAGAGATCCAAAGAAAAAGCAAACTAGATGTCAAGGAAAGAAGAGTGAAAAAATAGGAAGTCGCATATGCGCGCTGGATCGAAACTTTAGACAGCGAGTAAGCTCGGTCTGATCTGGGAGATGTCTGAGCCTACGATGACAAACGCAGAGCAGTCCTTACCCGATCCTCCTTAACGGCTATTTCTAGACACTCTTCGCGGTCAGACGTAGTTGTAACCGGCAGCGCTGTTAGTACAGATTGGGAATCGCTACTGAAATAGAGACCCTAACAATCGTTGGGGAATAGACGTACACGGTCGCATATAGATAAGTGTAAATATGCACCACCTTACAACCTCTACACGGAAATACACCTTTGCTAGTCCGAGTTCGCCACCATAAACTTTGCTACCGGTGCACTCTAACTGACGGACGGGACTGGGGGCCCGCTTGGCCGACTCACTAAAGCCGGCTGTTTCCTAATTTCTTCCTCCCTGTTTTTGTACCTCTACAGGGAGCGCTGCTGCTACCAGCTGTTCCATCTGTTCCTCATCACTACTGCTCGTGCTAAATAGGGGATACTATGCACGCCTGTAGCATAGCGTGATCTCAATTTTGACCCGCTTACTACTCCCAATCTACCCCGCCTCAACACAGCTTCCATTTCCCGACTTTTTTTGTAGCAACCTCCTGTTTCATCTACTTTGTACAGTCCCAAGTCAGTAATCTCACAATAGTCCACCGAAAACTCTTTACGAGAAGAGGATCTGGGGATACTATGCACGTCGTATCAGTGGTCAGCTGGACCAAGACGATAGTGTGAGCGTATTTTTTACACTAAATAGTACTATTATTTAGTGTAAAAAATACGTATGGTATGATAGTAGGTAGTTCACCGTACTGCATATGCCCACACGCACCGGTAGCTAGGCTGAACGTGGTGGTATATATATGAACATTTCCACTTGACTAAAGGGATTAGCTAGTTCAATGTAATCCTGTCAGCAGACTTGCAGCTTTTACTAGCCTTAATATTAAATGGTGCTAATAGCTAAAATATTCCACCTATCAACACTGGGCAATACGTTATTTACATGTACATTACGTAATTACATGTTCGCTTTTATTGCTAAACGAGACAAAGCCTTATGTTACTTGTAATTTTTATAACTAGACGTTTTACCCCAAAAAAATTGGCGACGCCAGAACAAAGTTGTATGCGTTTATTTTGCCATTGTCTCGAATTATTTCCCTAACAAATCTCTTTTTTCCATGAGCATCAAATGCCACTGAGAAAAAATTCTACAAGTAAAAAAGAGTCGATACGTTCCTTTTTGACGATATCGTTAGCCTCCATAACGTGATCGGTGTGGCAATTGGCAATATGCGTTATCATATATGTTCGTCCGCGACCTACATATCAGGCTTATCTAAACTCGATCAGTAACACAGTACAAGTAAACATCACAGTGTACCTACAACAAGAAGAACGAGAAGCGTACCTCGTCTTTGTCGGACCGTTCTCCCGTCTCCACGCGAAACCTCCGCACAACATTTTCGTTATCTCCATCACAAGAAGTGAGCTGCAATACAATTTTCACAATGGGTACAAGTACACAATCACGGTTAGAGCTGAGTGTGAGGGAGGCCCACGTCCGGCCAACAAAAACCAGACAGATTGTCCTATGAAAGGACGCGACCGTATGATAGATGCGTACAAATACATTCACTTATGATCGTATGCGTTCTCATCTGTCCAGTATTAATGTTAAACAGAGCCAATTGTTTACCATTAGTAACAACAAAAAACAGCATTCGAGAACAACTTGTGCCACCGACAGCCAGTAGAGACTAGAAACCAAGCTAAGCTATGCAGATGAGTAATTCTCCAGACAAGTATTGTGCTATATTCATAATTTACTGTCATAGATTATTACCTCAGATTCACTAATTTCTGGCAGCTAGTCTGGATAAATGAGATAAAGTTGGGAATATTAATGAAAGATAAAAGGGTCATGAATTCGACAGGTCATTTGGAACTAATGAAGTTTCTATTTATGTATGTGATGCATTTGGTAACAGTGTGTCACGCAATCCACGAAAAAACTAGTGATCTAGCCCACTAATGATTGTATTTTTATAATAATGTAAACTTTTAATTGTGGTTGCACGAGATGTCGCTAAAAGTTTGTATCTTGTTGCGTCAGTCGATAAAATTCTAATGGAAAACGGGAGATTTACATGTTCTTTAACCTGATAAGAAAGTATAACAGGACATTCTGGGTTTAATCTGGACTGGAATGGCCTTGAGTGATCTGGTTCGAGCAAATCCGTAAAGGACTCTAATCTTACAATAAATAGAGGTTGGCACGCAAGGCTGTACACTTGTTATAGGCGCCTTTTTTGTGGTTACTTTCTAACAAGCATTGAATTAAGCTACTTTGTAACAGCTAACTAAAACGCTACAAATGGCTACAATTTTAATTAATTTTAGTAAAATAAACATTAGGGCGATTTGAAAACTAAAATAGTAACTACAATTTTATTGTATAAATAATATGAGCCAAGAAAAAATTATCAAAAAATTTTAGATCGACGCGTTGAATCAAACAGGCCGCCCGATAATAGTACTGCACCCGCATGGTATCTACATCACATCCTGTATAAATATGTAGCCCTTGGCAACTGCAAACTCAAAGTCTTACATATGATATGACGGCACTCATTCATGGAAAACCTTGAACTATGTACGAATTCATTTTGTCCGGCCCCCGTTCCAGGCATCGTTAATCATAACTTTAACGATTTCTCTCCCATATTTTTTGATGAACTCCGACTACGCAAAAGTAATGGGGAGCTTGGATCTGCAGGTCAGACCTTTTACGCACAGGAATGTGTTGCATAACAGGTAAATATTTCATGGTAACCGATACAGGCCGTGTAACACGCTTTAAAAAAATAAACGCTAAAAAAAAGATCTGACTTCGTCAATATTTTTCGATATGATCCCCGACAATTTGAAGCACAGTAGGAAGCAATCTGCAGAAGGAAGCAACGACTGCTATCTCAAACTAGTCCCGTACCGTGCGCAAAGAAAAGCTTAAGGACGTATATTAGCTAAGGACGTAATATTAATGCCTGCTCGTATGGTTGCCAAGCTTTTTTATAGATTTATTGGCGAAGAACTCGAATAAAGCCAGTGAGATCCACTATGGTTAGACTTCTTTAGAAGTCATTGGTGCTAACCTAAAAAAAGTGATTTTAAGGATTTATTCACATAGAGGAAATTCAACAATCGTTCGCCACATCAGTCCGTAATGGTTTTTTTCAAAAGTTCAGCTGCTCTTCGGTAAGATCAACCCCAAGTGCTTGAGTTGTTGACGTATTTCTAGGTTGTTTTCTTTATGTAGGGCATGTCGGGGTAGCACAGTGGTTCCTACCACGAAACCTTATGGCCTATATCTCGTCCAAATTGATCAGCAGTCCAGCTTCATTCACGTAACAACAGCTTCTCTATATGGCGAGTTTCACGTCCGGTGCCGCCGTTAGGTATCCCAGCAGACAGACAGACAGCTGGCTTCTAGCACAAAGTGAAGTCAGGTGAAAGAGCTCAAAGCTAGATCACAACGTATTTCTAAGATTAGCATGCCAATACGTCACCCATTAAGCTATCATGGGAACTTAGTAACAGCCTGACGAGGGATTGCTGAATACGAAAGGTGACGATATCGTTGGCGTACAGCAACGCTTGTTTTTCCGCCGAGCCTTGAACACTGAAGGGAAGGTTATTCTACTTGAAAGAGGATAGCAGAGGGCTTTGGTTATGATCCTGCCTAACGCCACTCAGTTGAATAAAGGCTCCAGCTGAACTCCTCATTTGTGCTCATCAGGTTTTCCCTTCGTGTCCCTCTGATTAAACACAGCATGTTCTATAGGACTCTGCATTCTGCAAAATTTTAAAATCTTATCTCAGAGGACTATATCTTAAAGCTCACAGACACAGCAAAGGGTGTCTGTTCTGATCTACTCCCTGAAGCAGTATGTCATGCGTTGCAAGAGTGGAACGCTTTCTGCGGAATCTACGCTGTTCAGCTAGAATGCGTGAAAGCTTTCGGGAAATTAGTTAGCCGATAACTAATAAGGCGAGCCAGAAACTTGTACCCACACCAGATTTTCTTTGCAATTGCCCTCCATAGAGACGGATCAAGTGCTTTATCCGTCGCCTGGGGGTGTGACGCCTAGAAGGGTATTATTCCAGTTTATCAGTAAGCACCGTATACTAAGCAAGTAGGCTTGTTCAGCAAGGACACATGTCATTAGCACTTTTCAAGTGCTCATTGCGACTCAGGAAGTTGCTCCAGGGAGGACAGCATTTCAAATCTGGAGAGCTCAGCCTCTAACTTTTCGCGCATCATAAACGTTTGTTCATTCCATGCCCCAGGATGCAAAGGCAGTCGCCACAAGCGCACCCTTGAGATGCCCTATTAGTTCTGCGGAGTTTATAGGACATAGCATTTTGCATAGCTTACCAAATTATCAACACGAATCTGCTTGCCACAATGTACACCCTTAACGCTGTCGTCTAATGTCCGTGAATGGAGATATCTAATAGCCCGTTCCAACGTTAGCATATGTCTCGTCTTTTTCGCAGAGCTTTATTATAGAGTGACGCTTTTCTAAAGCCTGGTGGAGATGAGCTTAGGCGAAGTATGCCTCCCCTTCAGGCGTCAAGGGACGGGTTTTTCTTACACAGATGATAAAAGAGCTACAAAGGTAGACAGTCTTCAAAGCCCTGAAGGGAAACACACGAGGCGCAATCACTAGAAGACTGGGGCATTGCAAAAAACAAGTTTTTGTGTTTAACTCTTTCTACCACTGAGATGCGGCTATATATATATATATATATATATATATGTAGGAAAGTGGATGTACAGTACGTTTCCTCTTTGCTTAGATTAGCCTATTTTGCTTTCCTATTGCATGCGTCGGCTGGGTAAGAAGTGTTTTGGGTCCATTTGAGCTTAGCTGCGAGAATCCGATCGCCTCAGTCTTGTACGGGCCAATACCAGGTCTATTACCACTACTAATACATTATTATTCCGTTTCCCCAGTTAGAGGCAATGCACTCATATGATTGACTTGTAGTGGGCCCGTCGAGTGGAGCACCGCTCGCAAGGCGGACTCCATAAAAAGGACAGCCGCCAGACCTATCCACACTCAAGAACACACATCTACATGTACTTTTCTCTGCCCGCCATTACAGGGACTGTTAATTCTCCAAGGCTGGGCTCGTTTTTTTTTGGCTTCAGACGCGACATTGTGAGGAAAAGTTGGCGAAAGAGGGAGACAAAGGTAACCACCTTTGCCTCAGCTGCGCCGTTTTTTGAATGAGATTTCGTAGCTATATGTACAGAATCTCTTTGAGATGCAACAGACGATTGCCTTTCGCGTTTTTGCTCATGTGCCCCAACAAAAGTATCGAATCTAAGTACGGATAGGTTTTCAAGGTAAAAAGATTTAGCTTACATGACAACAAAATTGTGCGGAGGCCCAACTAAACGCACGTTTGGCAATCTAGCTGTATACTGACACTCAGTACTTGCGTAAATTAAAAGACCGAACCAGGCCGCATAGGTATAGCCGCAAGGAAACCCTCCAATCCTCTAACCGGTCACCAGCAAAATAGCCACCGATAACGAAAGCCCACCAAATCATGAAAACCCACTTTCGGGATGTCAGTTCTTTCAGGAGTTTCCTGTTTGGTAATTGTTGCTTCATTATAAACTATTTGTTCAATGGATAGACGATGGGAAAAATCTTATAGCGCGAAGCGTCACTGGCGTCGTCGTCTGTTGCTGCCGTAATAGGGGGTGTCGTAGTAAAAAGCGTCAGCGGAGCTGAACTCAGGCTTCTGTTCTCATTTCGAAAAACCTAGGATGACCCAGATCGGCCATTGATCCTTCATTATATCAGAATATGTCGATATACTGCAACGATTAATAAGCTAAACAAAGTGCTGTGCGTCAGCATAGGTGAGAGTTCGGGCGAAATTACGAGAGAAAACAACGCCAGCGGTAAAAAGGCACGACTTTCTAATGAACGAAAAACTAATAGCAACAGCGAGGCAGCAGTACGCCATATAAAATTAGTCTCCTGCTCACGGAATGATAGGACTGCAAAAACGGGAATACTAACTGCTGGTAAAGGAGCTTTTGATAGCAAAAATACAGGCACAGTAATACACCCACGAGTAGCATATAAAAGCTAACTTGGTTGATACGTGCGAGTCGGTTCAACGAAAAGTAGTAACAAACATCAACGGTTGATATATATATCTTTATGGCGTGGAGATAATAATTATCTGTGTCATTATCATGTTGTTGCGTACATACATACAAAAAATACGTGCATTTTCTACTAGGCTGTTTGAAGCTATTATAGTAGACCAAACCGTAGGCATCAAGAGTATTGACATTACATTTTTGGCTATATGCCGTGAAAAGCTTGCCGTCGTGAAAACGTTTTGCCGTGTCATCAGAAAACAATGAGTTTAGAAACAAAGGTATTTTCAAAGGTAAACACT